CACCTTCAGTGACGAAATGCAATATATCACGACGATTTCGGAGACACATATAACGACGATTTAGTCGTCACGATACATACTTTTCTACGGTGACGCATGAAGTTATCGTCCCCGAAAATATAACCAAATAGTGACGACACTGAAGCGTCATTTTTACGAAATACCACGCACTTAAAGTGACGCTTGTGTGACGCCAAAAAATCGTCACCAAATACCAAAAGTGACGAAAAAGTAAACTTTGGTGACGATTTTTGTCGTCACGTTTTCGCAGATTTCTTGTAGTGTTTGATCAGCACCTCTCAACGAAAGCACCAATGATGAACGATCGCGGTTTTTGTCTATTCGGTTGTGAGTAATCGCCCACTCATGGCCTTCGACTACACACGATAGATGTGACTAACAGACGCTCTCAGGGCCTTCTCTTAGACACTGTGACTTCAAGACGCTCTAATGGCTTTCTCTCTGACACGATAATATGATAAACACGCACTACGGCATTGCTTATACACACGTAGAACACAATGTTCCCCTTTTCCATTCACTCATCAATTCGAAACATTTCCAATAATGAAGAGGTACATGGGTATTTATAGGTGCAGAATTAAATCTAAGCCTAATTAAACTAGATCTCCTAAATCTTGCAATAATAGAAGTCCTAATACTAGAAAACAATAAAATCCTAATATTACTATAACTAAAAATACATGACTTGCACTCCAATTTACTTGAAGCTCAAGTCATACACATAAATACCCCTAGTCGCCTCACACGGACCGTCTTTTGGGCGCCGCACAAACGTGCACCGCCCGTACGCTCTCCTATTCCTTGGCGCGCAAGGCATCACGCGCCTTGTCCAGCACGCATGCGCCTGCCGCCTCCACCTCGCCTAGTCCCGCGCAGACTAGGCTTCGTTCATCCACCCGCACGCGCTCGTCATCTCTCGCGCCCAGCATCCGCCACCTTTCCTTCGCCCGTGCGTGTCTAGCATTCCTAAGCCTGCGAGGCTTAGGTCTCCGCCCGCATTGGTACTCCACTCGCGCGCCCATGCGCGCGCTCCGCTATCACTGCCCTGCTCCTGCACGTCCCAGCCACCTCCGCGGTTGCTGCCCATGCTCGATGCCCCCGCACCCTTTTCGCATTCATCTGCCAGCTCGCGCGTACCATCGACGCCCGTGCCCAAATCACCTACCGCGCACCCGCGTGCACCAGCTGCTCCACGCGTGCCGCCAGTCCCCGTAGCCTGCTCGCCCACCAATGTGCCCCATTCGCCCATTAGCCAATCTCTGTCGACCCTTTGTTGCCGCTCGACCCAGTCGGCTTGCCCTCTCGTCCCATGGGTCCCGTCCTTTCGACCCAGTGCAATCTCCAGCACGTCATATCCAACCGTCCTCCATCCTTTGCTTACCTCATCTTCGAGCCTCCATCTTCTATGCCCGCTTCTTCCTCGCACAAGGCCCACAACAATGACTCGCCTTCTTAGCCTTCGTCTTCCGTCGTCTCTTGGCCTTGCGTTTTCCTAGCCTTCAACTTCGACCTCGGACCACATCCTTTTGGCCAATTTCTCACACATGATGGTCGGTAAATCGGACTAGATGTGTAACACCCCACTTTGATTTTAAAGAAATTCCGGACTTTCCAAAAATCAGAAAATAATTTTTCGAGATCATTTTCGAAATCTAACGGGTGTTAAACAATATTTTTCAAAACCCAAGTCTTATCTGGGCCCACGGAGATTCATTATCCGGTTTTCACAAGTTTTTCATTAACCCAAATCATATCACATAAAAAAAATACTCAACATGAAATATTCAAACC